GATTCATGGGGCAAGTGCGGTTACCTCCACACTACATCAAAAGCTGAAGTACCCAGTCAAAGGGAAAATTGTCACTGTCTTTATGGAGGAAGAGTTTATGATCAGTCATTTGAATTCATTCAAATATGTTGAAAAGGATGGAGAATTCATTGAGACTCCTTGTCAAGCTTTTGAAGTGGTCCCTCCAATGATTTTTGTTTCCAAGACCACTCCTGTCAATCCCAAAGCTGCTAAAGATACACCAAGGATGGCCTCTCTCAAAGATACTCGTGCCGTAGTTGAAGATGGAGGTTACACCATTTGGGGATAACTTCCTGATATCCCATACAAGTCAGACAAGTTTGGGTTGGGCTTCAATTCCAAGGCTCAAAAAGAGTTTCAACGTGCTCGTGCAGGGAAACCGCCTCTACGTATTAGCAACAATGAATTTAGTGCTCTTGGAAACTCTGATAATGACGGTGATTGGGATGACTGGATCTACCCAACTACTGATAGAGGACTCAACAACTGGCATACTAAGGACTTCATCTTAATCTCCTTCAGCCAGCAGTATTTTCCATTTCCTGTTTTTTATTACTTTGAGAAATTTGTCTGTAATTTCCATTAAAACAATGGCTTTAAACAATGTGCCCTGCCTGGGGCACAATGTTCCATTTGTTAAGGGTCTGTCATTTTCATATGCCATATGTTCATTTTAATGAAAAACATTGGACTATTTTGCATTCAAATTTTGTGCTTTTTGTCTTTCTTTAACTTTACTGCATTTTCAAATAGTCGTGTGACCTTACATGCACACAGACACGTTTACAAATCTACATCCACTCTGGATCTCATTGAAAACAATTTTTCTATTTCCATCTATGACTTCGAAAATCCAATCTATCAAGCCGGAGACAAAGGTGAAGAAGATTGTGAAATACCTGGGGAACTCGCCAGACTCCTGATATAAGAGGAGAAGGCTATTCAACCGCATGAAGAACCAGTTGAAGTGATAAACTTGGGTACTGAGGTAGATAAGAAGGAAGTCAAGATTGGCGTCAACTTGGAAGAAAGTGTCAAGGGAAGATTGGTTCAGATGTTGTATGACTATGTTGAGGTGTTTGCTTAGTTATATGAAGATATGCCGAGGCTTGATACTGATATCGTAGTTCATCGTGTACCAATGAAAGAAGGTTGTCCTCCGATTAAGCAAAAGGTTTGTCGCACGCGGCCAAATATGTCTGAGAAAATCAAGGATGGGGTAATGAAAAAGTTCGATGTAGGTTTCTTGGCAGTGACGTCGTATCCCCAATGGGTTGCAAATTTTGTCTCAGTGCTGAAGAAAGACGGTAAAGTCCATATGTGCATAGACTACAGGGATTTAAATAGGCAAGCCCCAAATATGACTTTCCTCTACCACATATCAATGTCTTGGTTAACAATACTGCCCAGCATAAGGTGTTTTCCTTCATGATTGGCTTCTCTGGGTACAACCAAATCAAAATGGTGCCTGAAGACATGGAGAAAACCACTTTTGTTAAATAGTGGGGCACCTTCTGTTATAAGGTCATGCCTTTTGGTTTGAAGAATACAGGCACAACTTATCAACGGGTTATGGTAGCTCTATTTCATGACATGATTCATCATGAGATAGAAGTCTATGTTGATGACATGATTGCAAGATCACAAACTGGGGAAGAACACCTTGATCACTTACACGAGCTATTTGAAAGGTTGAGGAAATGCAAGTTGAGGCTGAATCCCAACAAATTCACCTTCGGGGTGAGGTCTGGAAAACTCCTAGGCTTCTTCGTCAGTGGAAAAGGTATTGAGGTCGATCCTGCAAAAGTCAAAGCCATAAAAAAAAATGTCAGCTCCCTGTACTGAGAAGGAGGTCAAAGGTTTTCTTAGGTCGACTCAACTACATTACCTGATTCATCTCTCACTTAACTGCTACTTGCGAGGCAAACTTCAGACTGCTGAAGAAAGATTAAGTAGTCAGATGGAATGAAGACTGCCAAATGACTTTTGACAAGATCAGGGAGTATTTACAAGAACCTCCAATCCTAATGCATATAGTTGAAGGAAGACCTATAATTATGTACTTGACCGTATTAGAGAATTCAATAGGGTATGTGATGGGCCAACATGACGAGTCTAGTCGAAAAGAGCATGTGATATACTACCTTAGCAAAAGTTTACCGACTATGAAACTAGATATTCACTGCTCGAGAAAACTTGTTGTGCTTTGGCATGGGCTGCTCACCGACTAAGCCAATATATGTTGACTCATACTACTCTCTTGATCTCTAAGATGGATTCCATCAAGTACATCTTCGAGAAGCCAGCTCTCTCCGGATGAATAGCCATATGGAAAATGATTTTGACTGAATATGACATCCAGTACACTACACAAAAAGCAATCAAAGAAAGTGTATTGGCGGATCATTTGGCCCATCAAGCTGTTGATAACTACCAATCCATGAACTTTGAATTCTTGGACGAGAATATCATGCTGATAACCGACTGTGAAAATCCTGGACAGTATGAAGGACCTGAACAAGGATCCCGATGGAATATGGTTTTTGATGGAGCTTCCAATGCATTGGGTAAAGGAGTTGGTGTTGTGATCATTTATCCCAAAGGTTTCTATACACCTTTCACTTCCAGACTCTACTTTGATTGTACAAATAATATGGCCGAATATGAAGCATGCATCTTGGGTCTTAAGGCTTCTATTGACCTAAGAATCAAACTCTTAAGCATATATGGAGACTCAGCCCTGGTGATAATTCAAGTTAAAGGAGAGTGGGATACCAAACATCCAAATTTGATCCCTTACAAAGAGCTAGTGCTAACCCTGATTCTATACTTTGAAGAAGTTACCTTTAAACATATCCCAAGGGAAGAAAATCAGTTGGCATATGCTTTAGCAACTATGTCATCTATGTTCAAGGTCAATTGGGACAACTAAGCTCCTAGAATTGCTATCGAAAGATTAAATGAACCGGCACACTGTTGTGAGATTGACACTGATGAGGAGAAGCCTTGGTACCATGAAGTGAAAAGGTATCTTGAAGCACAAGAATATCCCGAGGAAGCTTCAATCAATGACAAGAAATTTCTGCGGAGGTTCTCAGCCAAGTTCTTCCTATCGACGGTTACTTTGGATGCCATCTATAAGCCCATCTCTGATAACTCTTTATCACCTATCCAAATGGCATCTTTAAGCCTATTCCCGATACAATCAACTAACATCATTACTTCGTGCACCTGCAGTGCAAATTTTTAGGCACTTTAGTGTTCAATCATCTTCCACCTTCAAGTTACGAATGGCGAACATATCAATCTAACTCTTCAGGTTTAAGAAGATTGAACAGGGGCAGCTGTTGTACCCCTAAATTTCCTTCTCTTTTATCAAAATATTTGTCACCAAAGATCTCAAGGGTTTGATCAGACAAGCTCACCTCCTAAGCACTGAGGCCACAAATTAGGGTTTTAACTGAAGTTGACCGATCATTGACTTTTGACCTAATACACCATATAATGGTTTGAAACATAATCTCTAGGACTCAAACACAACATGTTGACCTAATTTCATGACTCAAATCATTTCTCAAGATCAAAAGATTGATAGTTGAATTTTTTATCAACTGATACACAAAAAGTCAAACTTTGATTTTTTGGTCAACATTACATTCCAAAGATTGAAACTTATTAAGACATTCAAGAATATTAAACTTGGTCAACAAGAATCAAGAAAGCCAAGAAAGTCACAAAAAGTCAAGATTTTCAATACTTAGAAATTTTTTAAGTGTTTTTAACCTTGATAATTTCATTACTTCATGACAATTTTTCACCAAGATGCAAGATGATTCAAATAAGAAAACTTTCAACATGAAAGTTGTAAATCTTGATGAATTATACAATTTTGTATTAGAGGGTTGATGTCAGAAAAATACTTAGATTTGAAGATACAGGCTCATGAAGTCATGACATTTTTGTATAAACACTTAGAGAAATTTCAACAAGTTTGGTCAGGTTTTTATCCCAACTTCTTGGCCAATTTTCATCAAATTCCAATTGGATTTAGCCAAAATGGTCAACATGAAAGTTGTAGAAAATGTTTTAAGCTTTCCAAAACATCCAAGAGCATGAATTTATCATACTTGAGCTAGGAGATTCAAAGGCATGAAGTTGGGCATCCATTCTTGATTACAAGTCATTTTGGTGAAGGACACACAATCCAATCTACATGTTATGTTGCATAATCTTGTGTTACAGGCCTTCTAACTTGCAAATCTCACAATAATTTAATGTTTACACAAACTTTTGAGCTATGGTCCATTTGATTTAAGAATTGTCCAAGTGATATTTCCATTTTTGGCATAAAGTTGACATTGTCATTCTTGCAAAGTAGCTTTAATCACAAAGTCAGCTCTTCTTGAGCCTCAAACTTGTTCCTTCTACACACACTCAACATGCAAAATCAGACAAACATGCTTAAAGTGTCAAACAACTCTATGAAGCAAAGTACAAAGCATTGGAACTATGATCTTCAAGCTTGCTTCATGTACAATCCAACCTAGCCACAACATGTGATCTTGCAAAGTCTGATCAACCCTTGTCTTAAAACCTGTTGCCTATAAATAGAGATTATTTGCAAGATAAAGGAGATGAACAAGCCTTTAAAACCCCCCATACTCTCAAAAATCCAGAACTGTCCACAAAAACCTCCATTTTGAGCTTTGAAGTCCAAATCTTTGAACCTCTCACACCTTGCAAGTTTTGCCCAAGCAAATCATCCAAATA